ATAGCAATATCAACAGTATTTATACTGTTGATATTGCTATATTAATTATATTAACTATGGGCTGTTATATTACAGAAAAAAAGCTTTCATGGGCAGCCTAGAATATCACTTTCACAACAAAATAAACGTTTTTTTCTTTATTGAATAATAATAATAAAAAAAATCTCTGTTCTCTTTCTCTGTATCATTGTTTCTACACTAGTGATTTTTTCAACTAACTTTACAGACCACTATGGTAATGGTAAAGGAACTAAATAAATAAGATTTTTTGTAAAGTAATCAATCTGAACTGCAAATAATATTTTTCTTTTAAAATATGCACCCATTCAATTTTAGTTGTATTTCTAATATGTTGAAAACGCAAGACAGAAAATGATATTGTCGTCACAATAATGATGAATTACATGAATCCCGTAAATGATAGCCCAACTTTCAATTCAAAACAGCGAAATTTGACAAAACGAAAAAAAAAAAAAAAGGCGAATACTTGATAATACAGTCGAGCAGACTGTTGCTATAGTAAGTAATCCTTACATTCAACATTAACAGAAAGTCAAAAGGGGTAAGCTTTCAACTGAACTGTATAGCCTACATGCATTTTAGACGCTTATATTATGCTCGTGCCCCGTCCATGCAATGAACGCACGTTATTGAATGTTTATTTTCTTTTCTTTTAGAACATTAAAACTGCTCAGGTAATTTCAGTGGTATGCTATGATACATATTCGTGTATTAAACTCCTAGTGACAGCGCGCAAATATTTCTGCCCGTTTTCGCTCGTTGTCAGCCTCTGCTTTTCTGCAGCAGACTGAAGCCTCCGCGTGAATTCAGCGCGCCATGCATTCAGCTAATAAAAGAAAAATGCTGCACTTTTCTGGAGTTATTTTATGATTGTTTGGGCAGTCTCAAGCTATAGCTTAAACTTCTCAAAGTACAGTTCGCTTCAGATTAGTTTTAATCTATGCACAAAAAATTAATGTAATCATCTAATTCTGATTGGGTGGGCTCAGCCTACCCCTGCCCATGCCTGGAGCCGGCCCTGGTTTAAACACTGAGTTTTGAATCGATTTCTTCTCACAAACTCAAGAGATGTGGATTCGGATGGCAATTAAATTACCACACGACCTTGGTGTTTGTCAAAAAACAGTAGGTAATTTGGCCAGGGATTTTTACGGGGGTGGTGAGAGAAAAAGTTGCATTCAGCTAATAAAAGGAAAATGCTGCAATTTTTTGGAGTTATTTTATGATTGTTTGGGCAGTCTCAAGCTATAGCTTAAACTTCTCAAAGTACAGTTCGCTTCAGATTAGTTTTAATCTATGCACAAAAAATTAATGTAATCTTCATCTAATTCTGATTGGGTGGGCTCAGCCCACCCCTGCCCATGCCTGGAGCCGGCCCTGGTTTAAGCACTGAATTTTGAATCGATTTCTTCTCACAAACTCAGAGATGTGGATTCGGAAGGCAATTAAATTACCACACGACCTTGGTGTTTGTCAAAAAACAGTAGGTAATTTGGCCAGGGATTTTTACGGGGGTGGTGAGAGAAAAAGACCGACATCCTGGATTCGGACGGCATTAAAATCACCAACTACCCCCTGTAAATGGTGAAAATCACTTACGCCCCCCTGAGAAACAATTACCGTCTGAATAGGGCTTTAGCCTGCATTTTAAAATCTTTATTTGAACGTGGCAATTAACATTTTTATTTTAAAACCTTTATTTGAATATGGCAACTTAATATTGCGCTCTACAATATTTATATGAATAAATCTCTGACAGAGACTATCAGCCAATCACTGTGTGCATAGTTAGCAAGTATGCTGACATCATCCATAGCAACAAGGTCAACCCCGCCCTTACTCTTAGCTTAAGACTTCTGTCTATTCCTTAGTAAAAGTTTGTCTCAGCAGCTTTGTGAATAGGTTTTAAGAGAAAACTCTTAGCTAAAAACTTTTACTGCTATTTAGGAGAACTCTTAGTGGTAAAATAAAATGTTGTGTGAATACAGGCCCTGATGTGTACAAAGAGTTTGTGAATCCGGAGAAGAGTTTTCAGGAAGGTCCATTTTAAATTACTCCGAATTTGCTCCTATATTTACGAATGTTTGATGAATGAGGCCCAATATATTTGACATTAACATAATTGATGCTTATTTATAATTACAAACAAAAGAGCAGAATTGTGACATATACAGTTGTAGGGCTAGGCGATAATTCGATAACGATAATTATCGTGATATAATTTCTCAATAAAACTATATGAAGTGTTCGATAAATGTTTGATATAATGTTTACGTACCAAAAGCGGAACGAAACGCCACACGGACCATTTATCTGCTCGGATCAAAGTTCAAACAGCGGCGCGAGCTTCACTAGAGCAGATGTGCTCACTCGCTGATGAGTCTCGCTCACGCGACACTAAACAGCGCTGTGAGATCCAGTGTGAAGTGCTTGAATTCAGC